AATGAAGTTTTTTGAAAATCTAAAAATGCAGAAAGTTTCCTGTGAGGGGTAGGTTTAGGGGTAGGGTTGGTGTAGGGCAATAGAATATACAGTGTGTACAGTAGAAAAACCGTTACGCCTATGGAGAGTCCCCACAAGGATAGCTGTCCAGACGTGTGTGTGTGTGTGTGTGTGTGTGTGTGTGTGTGTGTGTGTGAGTAATAGCGCTGAGGTCGGTTTAATTACCAGAGATCAGACCAAAGTCCCAGAGACTTACTCACTTCCTCATTCTTGCTGTTTCACTGGTCTTTGTCTCTAAAACAATTGTGTACTTGTGTTTGGTGATTTTAAATAAAGTAATTGTGACTTTATATCTGGCAGTGTGGCTCACAATGGCAACTTTGTTCCTCATAATTGCTTTAAATCACTGTGGCTTTGTTTCTTATTTTAAACTATTTCACTACTATTTTGTACTTTTTTCTTTTGTAATTTTCTTTAGTTGTGTTTAAGGTGTGTGTTCAAATCACTGTATTCTCTTTCTTTATTTTTTCTACCTATACACTGCATTCATTCATTCATTTAATGGATCTATTCATTCTTAATTTATTTTTTATCAATTTATTCTTTTTATTTAACTATTTATCTAATATGTCTTTTTTTCTAATTTGTCTAATTTTATTTAGGTATTTATTATATAATTAATTATTTCATTTTTATTTCTTTGCCCAATTGCTCTTTCTCTCCCAAAAATTAATTAGTTTATTTATTTATTTATTTATCATCCATCCATTTGTTTATCTGTATTTATTTGTTCTTTTAATTTTTATTTAAATATTTATTTATGTGTGTACTGTGAGTAATGCACATTCTATGAATTTATGCTTGAAAATGCCATGAAGGAAGGGCGTTTATTTCTCTCTGTGTGTGGGTGGGTCAGGTTTTGCCTATTGTGAGGACTAAAAGTCTCCGAAAAAGGATAGTTCAACCTGAAATCAGCTACATTGAGGGAGCAGCCGACAGAGAGAAAAACGACTTAATAAACATATAAATAATGATTTCGGGAGAATATAAAACTGCAAAAAGGTTTGTGTGAGGTTTAAATTTAGGGTTAGGCCTAGGTCAAAGGAAAGTCCCCACCATGATAGAGAAGGGTTTCACACAACAGACCCTGTCGATCTCAAACAGTCGTTCACCAGCTGTGTGTGCATGTGTTACTGTGTCTTTAACACACTCATGTTGTATGGTTGTTTGCCCTGCTGCCTTTCTGATGTCTGTTTGCTCATGGCTGAAGTGTGTTTACAGGTAATACTCTTTCCTTTTTGTATTATCTGTGTGTGTGTGTGTGTGTGTGTTTCTCAGACTCGGCTATCATGTTACACCATTCATGTCCAGTCAGTCACAGATCAAACTCATAGTCTTTCCTGTTCACCTGTGACATCACATCAGGGAGGCCACAACCTCTTAAAACCAGCACACACACACACACACACACACACACACACACTCGCTCAGAGTCCGACGGGATCTAAAGGTGCTGTTCTTACGGGAATACTGCTGGGATTGAGTGTCAGTATGCCGGACGGTGTTCGGTGAGGTGAAGTTTTATTACAGACTATCAGCAGATGTGCATTTTATATTCATATGTCCGTGTGAATGATCTGCGACTCAATCTAAATGTTGAGATGTTCACTCGAGGTTAGTGATGGACTAAGATTTGGCCATTTTGAGGTAATGTTGTGTAAAATAGATGTTAATTTCATTCAGTAGGCTTGCGTGCATCTCAATTGCTGTCATTAAAGTGCATTATGCTGCTCTCTATTGGCACTGATTGACCGATATCATACAATTACTTCTTCTAGAGCTGACAGTTTTGTATGTAAAGATAAGGATTGTGTTAGTTTTGTCAATGTCTAGGCTGGTCAGTGCTTGTATTTGTCGTGATGCTGTTATCTCCGAGTCTTGTTTGGATTGTGTGCATAGATTCACATAATTTGTCCAATTTTGTTAATGGCATAAAGATTTTAGGGTAGAACTCACATTTACGTTTATTCATTTAGCAGAGGCTTTTATCCAGAGCAATTTGTCATAGAGTCAAAAATTGTCATCGGATACAATGCCAGGTTTAGTTAAAAAAAAATATTTAAAAAAATATATATATAAATAAATAAAAGAATAGATGTGAAATTAGTGGTGAAATGAAATGCAGAAAAGAAAAAAAAACAACAATAATAATGTGTATGTATTATTATTATTATTATTCATATGAATGTTTAAGGAACAGTGTATCTTATTGAAACTGGTCTCTGTTTTTTTCACTTTTTAATTACCTTTCTTGTTCATTTAAAATTGTCATTGTGCCAAATTAATTTTTAAAACCACAAATATTCCCTGTAGTAGAGTAGAGGTGAAATAATAAATATATATATAATATATATAATAATATGTAATAATAATATGTTTTATTATTATTATTATATGAATGTTTAAGGAAAAGTGCATCTTAGGCTTTGTAACTGGTCTCTGTTTTTTCCCCTTTAAATGAGCTTTCTAGTTAATTTTAACTAGATTTTTTAGTTAAAATTAACTTTTAAAAGCACAAATATTCTATGTAGTCTCTGTGTAGACATTAATGTCAGCTCATTAACCTGTATGTGTAACATTAATGCAACGATTTGAGCAAAACTTTGTTTAAAGTAGTTTTAAATGGAGAACAGCATGTCACACATGTCAGCTTCCAAAAAGCATTTCATATTAACTGGGTACAACCCAAAAATAATACAGTCTCTCCAGTATTACATAATCCTGGTTTATTGAGTCGAGGTGTCAGGACTGATGTCAGAGCCGCTGCACTGAATCATGCAAAGACGGGGCTGTTTTTGGTCTGTTTGCACCTTTCTGAAAAGAAAACTCAAGAACATTCAGTTATGCTTCAGTTTGTGGTGTTTAATAAGGGAATAGTTATATTGTTATTGCTCATATTAGGGTTGGTGATTTGAATAAAGCTTGAGGTTGGTATGATTTTTTTTTTTTATGTATTTGAAAGAAGTCTCTTTTGCTCACCAAGGTTGCATTTATTTGTTAAAAAAATACAGTAGAGTCATTAATATTGTAAAATAGTATTACAAATTAAAATAACTGATTTCTATTTGAATATATGTTAAAATGTAATTTATTCCTGTGATCAAAGTTGAATTTTCAGCATCATTACTCCAGTCTTCAGTGTCACATGATCTTCAGAAATCATTCTAATATGCTGATTTGCTGCTCAAGAAACATTTCTGATTATTATCAATGCTGAAAAGAGTTATGCTGCTTCATATTTTTGTGGAAACCGTGATACGTTTTATTTTTCAGGATTCTTTGATGAATAGAAAGCTCAAAAGAACAGCATTTATATGAAATTGAAATCTTTTGTAACATTATATATGTCTTTACTGTCATTTTTGATCAATTTATTGCATCCTTGATGAATAAAAGTATAAATTTCTTTAAAAAAAAAAAAATCGTACTGACCTATAACGTGCTTTATATAAAAATAATACATAGAAATATATTGGTCTGAAACTACATCAGATGATGTTTTCTTCCTGCCTTAGCTGTTTTTTCCTGCTGTGTCCTAGTTTAATCTAAATACCATTAAAAGAAGATTGGTGGTAATTTGGTAAATCTAATTATGCTTTCAGTTTCATTCCAGCAACCCTTGCGGTTGATTTACTTTAGCCCCTCCCTTTTCACCAACTCACTAGCTCGGATTGGTTGTGTGTTTCAGATTTAGCCACGCCCACAGCTGAAGATGTCAGACAATGGGGAAGTAGAAGACAAGCCGCCAGCTCCGCCCATGAGAAACACCAGCACCATGATTGGCTCGTCCGGTAAAGACTCAGGCCCGTTGAATCACGGCTCCAAACCCCTGCCGCCCAACCCGGAGGACAAGAGGAGAAAAGAAGGCTTCATCCGATCCATACTCACCGGAGGAGGAGACAAGAGTGAGTGACAGGCATTGAAAACTCACTTTTAAAGAACTGTTTTTAAAATAGAGGACTTAAAAGCAATCCAGCAAGAACAGAATTTATGTAGGGAGTCATTCAGGGTCAAAGCTCACAATAAACACATCTGTTTTGCAAATAGCAACTTTATGACTGTAAGCCTTTTGTCTTTGAGGTTGATATTCTCCTTCATTTGTGGCAGTTTCTCATTGTATAACACGCGTCTCCAAACACCTGTGCGTCCACACGTGTCTCCGTGTCAAGAGTCCGTCTCACTCCTGCATTCTGAGCGGCTCGTCTTTCTGCAGGCCTGTTTTGTGTTAATTACCAGCCCGTTAGCACATCATTAATATGAAAGACCCTGCCTGGCTTCAGCTCACAGCAGATGAGGACGTTTATAATAGGCATTAGCAGCATCTGCACACATGAGTGACACACAGGACCTGGAAAACAGCGCAATAGATGCATGACTGTGTATATATTGTAATAATGTCTTTATGAAATCCAAAAAACGTATGAGATTAAAATGGCAGAAATCTGGTATATTGTATAAAAATAGTGTTAAAGACTTGCACTAAAAGGAGATTCCTTAAAAACTAGACAGACAGACAGACAGACAGACAGATAGATAGATAGATAGATAGATAGACAGACAGACAGACAGACAGACAGATAAACAGACAGACAGACAGACAGACAGACAGACAGATATACAGATAGATAGATAGACATACTGTCAATTTACAACTGCAAAAGCAACAGCAACTAGCCTACGAAATGCTACCAAAATAATAGCAGCATGTTAAACATGCCAGCAAAATTGTTAACAATGTGCTAAAACATACCATCAACATCTTGAAACATGCTAAAAATGCTACAAACCTGTTGAGAGAAACATACTAACAATGTGTTAAATCATACTAACAACGCACTAAACCAGGCTACTAACATGTTAGCAATGTTCTAACACATACTAGCAACATGTTGACCCTCTAAAACTAACACTTTCTATTCTATTTCTATTGTCTACTTGTTTTCTTTTATTTATTATAAAAACTTAACTCTCTAGCACTAGCACTCTGTATTCTATTTATATTCTATCTACTTGTTTTATTTTATTTATTATAAAAACTTAACTCTCTAACACTAGCACTCTATATTCTATTTCTATTCTGTCTACTTGTTTTCTTTTATTTATTATAAAAACTTAACTCTAACACTAGCACTCTATATTCTATTTCTATTCTATTTACTTGTTTTCTTTTATTTATTATAAAAACTTAACTCTAACACTAGCACTCTATTCTATTTCTATTCTATTTACTTGTTTTCTTTTATTTATTATAAAAACTTAACTCTAACACTAGCACTCTATATTCTATTTCTATTGTCTACTTGTTTTATTTTATTTATTATTAAAACTTAACTCTAACACTAGCACTCTCCATTCTATTTCTATTGTCTACTTGTTTTCTTTTATTTATTATAAAACTTAACTCTAACACTAGCACTCTCTATTCTATTTCTATTCTGTCTACTTGTTTTCTTTTATTTATTATAAAACAACTCTAACACTATCACTCTCTATTCTATTTCTATCTCATTCTCTATTCTATTTCTATTCATCTTTTATTTATTATAAAACTTAACTCTCTAACACTAGCACTCTATTCTATTTCTATTCTATCTACTTGTTTTCTTTTATTTATTATAAAACTTAACTCTCTAACACTAGCACTCTATTCTATTTCTATTCTATCTACTTGTTTTCTTTTATTTATTATAAAACTTAACTCTCTAACACTAGCACTCTATTCTATTTCTATTCTATCTACTTGTTTTCTTTTATTTATTATAAAAACGTAACTAACACTAGCACTCTATTCTATTTCTATTCTGTCTACTTGTTTATTATTTATTATCAAAACTTAGCTCTCTAACACTAGCACTCTCTATTCTATTTCTATTCTATCTACTTCTTTTATTATAAAAACTTAACTCTAACGCTAGCACTCTATTCTATTTCTATTCTATCTACTTGTTTTCTTTTATTTATTATACAAACTTAACTCTCTAACACTAGCACTCTCTATTCTATTTCTATTCTATCTACTTGTATTCTTTTATTTATTATAAAAACTTAACTCTCTAACACTAGTGTTCTCTATTCTATTTCTATTCCATCTTTTATTTATTATAAAAAAACGTAACCCTCTAACACTAGCGTTCTCTATTCTATTTCTATTCTATCTTTTATTTATTATTAAAAAAAAACGTAACCCTCTTAACACTAGCGTTCTCTAGTCTATTTCTATTCTATCTACTCGTTTTCTTTTTATTTCTACGTGTACTGCGTTAGACTTGCCAGGACTTGTCGCAGCACTTACATATTATTGCTCTTTTGTTGGTTTGATTGCTTCTGTTGTACTCATTTGTAAGTCGCTTTGGAAAAAAGCGTCTGCTAAATGTAAATGTAATGTTAAAACATGTTAGCAACATGTTGAAACATGCTTACAATGTGTTAAATCATGTTAACAATGTGCTAAAAACATGCTTCTAACATGCTAGCAATGTGTTAAAATGTTAGAAAAAGGCTAAAACGTGAAAAACGTTAACAACATGTTAAAATATGCATGCTATGATAGTCTGTCTGTCTCTGTTTTTTTATGTACTGATGGCCTTCAAAACCTTCAAACTTTAAAACTACTTAAAACTGAAAACCTTCACGTTTCTTCAAACTTGTTAGTCAGGTTTTCTAAAGCCAACATTTTAAATCATTATATAAAATATAATTTCAAAAAAAAATATTATACAATAGTTTCCCGCTATTCTGTACTGTATGTGTCTAATAAAGAGACAAAATGAAAAACGTGTTGTATGTTTATAATAAGTGCTTGGAATCATCTACATTTAAACATCCCTTAACTATTATTCTCTTCTTTCACTCAACTGTGTCTCCGCCCCCATCCTCGTCTTCAGCCAATAAGAAGAAAGAGCGTCCGGAGATCTCTCTGCCGTCGGACTTTGAGCACACCATCCATGTTGGCTTTGACGCCGTCACTGGAGAGTTCACTGTAAGTCTGAGCAAAGACCTTTTCCTGCAGGATGCCCACATGTAGAAAACAATTCTATTTATGCCTTCAGACATTATCACATAAGCATATATTTCTAGATCATTAGACTCTCTTTTTGTGACTTCACATTTGATTGTGTATCCAGTTTAAGACAGTTTGAGATATGTATCCAACCACTGGGAACAAAATATTGACTTTTTTGGCAAATTATAGCCAAATCTAAATGTAAAATTCATTAGGAGCTTGTTAAATAGCACTTTTAGTCTGCACTTATCCTGTAAAATGAATGAACTCACCTGATTATAAAGAGAAAGTGCTAAAGAGAGCACACAAAAAAGGACAAACGGAAAGAAAAATGGCTGAAGATGTTCATTTGACATCAGCAACCCAAATATAGAAAATGAACCTCCAGCAGTTCAGACTCGCAGGATTAACCTCCGGGTCCAGATCTGTCTTCCTCTTTACATCTGGATTATTATATTTGATAAGATATTAAATGAGCTGTGGTCTTTTCCTGACCCCTAAATCAGCCGTACTTTTCCTCCGTATGACACTGAGTTGAGTTCAGTGTGTGTAACTAGTGTTAATGAGAGCTTTTTGGCATGCGCATGCTTTCATTGTCACTGGCATAGGCTGATTACCGTGGTTTACTCCATGCTTGTGTTTGTGGCTCTCTATGTAGGGCATGCCTGAGCAGTGGGCACGGTTGCTCCAGACGTCCAACATCACCAAACTCGAGCAGAAGAAGAATCCTCACCGTATGACACTGAGTTGAGTTCAGTGTGTGTAACTAGTGTTAATGAGAGCTTTTTGGCATGCGCATGCTTTCATTGTCACTGGCATAGGCTGATTACCGTGGTTTACTCCATGCTTGTGTTTGTGGCTCTCTATGTAGGGCATGCCTGAGCAGTGGGCACGGTTGCTCCAGACGTCCAACATCACCAAACGCGAGCAGAAGAAGAATCCTCAGGCCGTTCTGGATGTGCTTAAATTCTACGACTCTAAAGAAACAAACAACAGCCAGAAATACATGAGCTTTACAGGTGTGACGCACACTTCCATATTACAGCTATAGCAGTGTAGATGTCAGTAACATCTCACATAATTGTAATTATATATCATACAGTTATATGTATATATATATATATGTGTGTATGTATGCATGTGTGTGTAAAATAAAAAAATTTAAAATATAGGTAATAAAATATATAAATATCTAAAAAGAAAAATATACATATGTAATAAAATAATTGTAAATATATATCATAAAAATTCAATATATTAATTGTATACTTATAGTATAAATATAAATGAATACAATTATTTTATATTATTATAAATATATATAACATTTAATTTATTTTATATTATATATTCTTATATATGCATTTTATATTTAATTATTTATGTATGTATATATATATATATATATATATATATGTGTGTGTGTGTGTATATCAATTTATACAATTTAATTTTATATATTATATCTTATGTATATATTTATATATTATATGTATATTTTATATCGTATGTATATTTTATACCTAATGCAGATGAAACATATCCAGCTGTCATTCTTTTCTTTTAAATAAGATGCGATCTGGCGCTGTAATATGTTGTTTTTGAAATGTTCGTTGTGATGTTATTAGTGACGGAACGTTCTCTTCACACACGAGCGCTTCGATCTATCGCTTAATGACGTTGCAGAGACTATATACAGTATTTATTCCAGTTAAATCACAAAACAAAATTCCCTGCTCTTGATATACAATCACTGATGAACATTTTTGATTATAATAAGGGAAAAAAAATATGCGAGGGCAGATTAGAACACGCCTAACGAAAATTCTACCACTAGACTGTTTAGAAATACGATTGTTTATTGCATATCTATGTATTTATTCACTGACGTGAAGAATCTCGGGCCTAATAATATATTTTATTATAGTACATGTAAGAATGAAACTATCACGTTAAAAATGAGTTCTATGTCGATACATTAACCACCACACACACACACACACACACTCCTAGCAGTTGAAAAAACAATGTCAGTGATATGTTGTCTATAGATTAGTTCTATGTCTCTTTCTCATTTCTCATTCGTCTGTTTTTAATTTCAGATAAAGGTGCGGATAGCTACAGCTCTTCCAACGCAGTGGTGAGTCATTGTGATGTCCGACTGTGTTTTCCAGGTTTATCTGTGACACGCAGAGAAGCGTTTGAGGTCAGGAGGGGAATATGGAGAAATGTTCCCAGAGCTGAAATGGGGGGGGGGGATGCAGTGAACTACAAGGTGACAGAGTCCCATAAAAGCTGCCCACTCAACAGAAGGACAGAACTGATGCCAGCCACTCGAGGCTGTGCCAGCGGGTTCATCTCTCTCTCTCTCTCTCTCTCTCTCTATCTCTCTCTCTCTCTCTGCACTGTGAATCAGCATCTTTTTCGTCCAGTTCTCCTGCTGAGTTGTGCCGTATCCGTAGCTCAGATCGAATCAGGTTAGATGCAAAGCAAGATGGGGAGTGAAGTTTTAGTTGTGGTGTATGGGGTCAGCTGGTGAGGCCGGCGGGAGGGTTGAATGCGGTCAGCGCTGCTCTCGTGGTTGGCATGTTGGCGTTAGGTTTGTTTTGCACTCGTGTTGTGATGTCAGTCGGTCAGCCTCACTTCCTGCTCGGCTTGTTTGACGCTCCGCAGAACTCCAGGACCGTTTCCGAGACCCCTGCCGTGGCCACCGTTTCTGAGGATGATGATGAGGATGAAGCCACGCCTCCACCCATCGTCGCACCCCGTCCCGAACACACCAAATCTGTGAGTATTTACTTATATGGGTCAATGTTAAGGGATCAAATGCTAAGGTGTTTTAAGTATTTTCCAGGGTGTATATATATGATTTATATACTAGTATAGTTTTTTATAGTTAATTATTTATTTATTAATTATTTTCATGAATTAATTATTTATTAAACAATTATGAAATTTATTTTTGAATTACATTTTTGTTTGTATAATTTAAGTTTTGTAAGTGTAATTTTTAGCAATTTGTGTTTTTAAATATTATCATATAGGTTTAAATTTTTTTTATTTAATTTTTATTTCAGTTTAAATTTTTTTATTTATTTCCAGTTTGTAATTTTAGTGTGTCAGCTTTAATTTATTTCAGTTAGTTGCCAAGGCAACAGTTCTAATTTCGTTTGATTTAAGTTTTAGATATTTAGTAAGTCTCTCTTTCGCTCTCGGATTGAGTTTAATATGCTTTATAGGCATGACAAAATTATACTTTCATTTTGTCAAGAAGTGGAAAAGTAAAATAAACTAAAATAACACTAGTGCAAATTAAAAAAATAAAATAATGGGTGTAAAATAAAATGCAAAGACTCACTTTGAGATGTTGGCTTAAATGCTTACGGGAAATTTAAAGAAAATTGAGTTAATTTTATTTAGGCCTTATGTTTGGGTGGTTGCAAAGGTGATTAGCTTTTATTTTAATATTTTTATTTTTAAATATTAATATATTGGTTTAATTTTTTTATTTCATTTTTAGTTTCATTTTTATTTTATTTTTTATTTCCAGTTAGTAATTTTCAGTCTTCAACTGAAACTTATTTCAAGGCAACATTTCTAATTTAAGATTTTTATCTAATATTTGTTTTATTTTATTGCAGCTTTATTTAAATAAACCAAATATTTTTAATAGATTTAGTTTGAATTAACGATAATAATCTTGGTTAGTAGATTATTGTGAAAGGTTGCTAGGTAAACAGACAGACAGACATGCAGTTGCTAAGGTGTTTCCTAGGGTGGTGCTAATGTATTCAGAGTGGTTGCTAGGTAGTTAGGAGGTTATTGTGGTTGGTTACTAGACAGACAGACAGACAGTGGTTGTGGTTTCTAGGCGGTTGCTAAGGTGTTCTGAGTAGTTTTGAAGTGGTTAGTAGGTTATTGTGGTTGGTGGCTGGTTAAACAGACAGACAGGCAGTTGTAAGGTGTTTTAGGTGTTGGCTGGCAGATGCAGATACATCAGACAGTCCAGTCTGTAGTCTGGAATAATGAGTTTCTGACTCTAGACGCCTCCAAGCTAACCTGTAATTACAGAATAAATATGCATGTGTTCAGAGCGGGGGTAGGTGACTAGAGCTTTATTACAGGAGTGTGTGTGTGTGTGTGTGTGTGTTTGAACCTCGTTACCTTCTTTTCATCTGTCTGGAGATCACTGGATCAGGCTTCTAGGTGCCCGGATGATTAAAGATGCTCCATCAGGGCTCATTCATGTGTGGTTTTGATGTGAAGGGGTTTCACCCTCATTAGGTCAGAGGAGATGAATGATGTCCTGTAATGTCTTCACACACACACACACTCACACACATGACGCTGCTTTTTGCGGCTGTAGTGGCCACAGGCGGCTTGTAGTGCATGTCTGATAACTTTGAGCTCATGTTACCGTGTTCACTAAAAATTGCCAAAATTAACAAAATATTATAGAGAAAACAGAGGATAAATATGGAAAACTTCACTCAAGAGCGTAAGTCATTGGGG